TTTTAAATGTGTCAATAAATATCTTGCTTCTGTTTGAAATTGATGTCATTCTGAAAAGCTTTGAAGGCTCTCCTTTTTCTATCAATGGCAATTTGAACTTTCCTATCATTCTCATCTAACCACTCTTGATGTTTCTTTGTGGAGAAGCCTGGAGATTCTTCAAATGCCTCAAGATGTCTTTCTTGAGGCTATTCCACTGATCATTACTGTCAATGATCATGGGGGAGGTCAGGCAGTTTCTCACTGAGGCACTGCTGGAGATTATCACCATTCATAGGCTCTTTCAAGTACTGGTGTTTGATATTTGAGCCTCTTACTTGGTTGCTTCTTTTATGTCGTTTTAGGGTAATACATATAGACATGACAGAACGTATCAAACAATGATCCATCCAGCAGTTGTGCTGGTCATAGTTCTGGTTATACATATGTTGCAGTGGTCCTGGGCGCACACTATGAAGTAGTTAGTCAGCTGTAAGTGTTTTGAGTGGGGTAGGCATCCAGGATGTCTTTCATTTGTTGCTTTGGCAGAGTTAGTGATAATGAACCATAAAAACCATATTCATTGTTAGATCTTAAATGTGAATAGTTAGCAAAATTATGGTGATAGTACCTAGCTATCTACGGCAGTCCTATCTTAAGTATCTGTTTCATTCACTTCTCAGTGTTCTAGTTTAATCCAAAAGCAGTCCCCTGCAATGTTTGATGGAGTACTCAAGCACTTTAAGTTTTTACTTACTGGTCAAGTCAACTGTTGGAAAGCTTTTAAATTCTAAATGCAATCTAGTTTAGAAGACAATTTAGAATTGTACTTTAATTGAAGATTATTATTAAGCCTGACAACAACTGTTACAGAAGCTTAATTTAGTCCAACAACGTAATTAAATTAGAATTTTGTTAAAATATACTGTAATAAAGTCTTCATTATCCTTCTCTTTTTACCATTCCCAATTTGTTTTATACACTCTTATGGTACATGCAACTTTCCCATGAGTGTTGATCAACACCTGTTTCCCACCTTCATTAACTTTTCAGCATATTCAACACTCATACAGGAACACTTGCTTAAGAGCAGATAACACAATGTAATAGTAATATGCCAATTATACTTTCCCCTGATTTAAGAGCATTACAGCAAGCTGTAAAGTAAGAGGGCAACATCTGCCTGTAAAGAATTAGATACATTAGTTTGAATGACTTATTTTTCAAAAGAATGAAGACCAGCAAACTTTGGACCTTATTAATATGGGAAAAGATGAGATGATCAGGCATTTGCAGCTGATTTGTCACTTCCATAATGTAAAAAAACAAAAAAACCAAAAACAACCCCCCCCCACAAAATCAGTAATGGTTGTCTTACTTTTTGCCAAGACACTTTTATCTTGGAAGCTTATGTGTTGTTCTTCCCTTTCTGAGGAAATTACTACTCTGAGACAAAGAATTTATTCCTCACAAAACAGGGTTCCTCTCCCCCTGCCATTTACTTGCTTCATCTCCTTGTGTTCTGAAATGACAACTACCAGGCTTTGTAATTTGTGCACCCTGGCAACTATATATTTATGCATTTTTGGTTGGTTAAAAGTAACCGTTATGCCAGTTTAAAGAGTTGTTTTAGAGTTGCAGGTAACGTAAAACCTGTACTTTGAATATTTTCAGAGATCCAACTTTAATAACTAATGTAGCAATCCTGCACAGGTAAGCACTTGCAGAGTGAGAGAAAGTTATTCATTATAAAAGAAATACATTAGAGAGCTAACCTTTTGCAGAAAGGTTCAATTTGATTTTAGGAAAGTTACTGTGAAATTCCAGTGAGATTTAAATCAAGGTTGTCTTTTTTATAACAACTCCTACTTTGCAGAACATGTGAAAGGCAGTAAAATAAATATTTTATCAAATAAAATATTTTATCCACACATTAGAAAGTAACTACACTTTACCCTTACAGCTAAAGATTCATAGAGAGACCAAATTCTAGAGCTAACAGTTCAGGCAGTAAAAAGTGATGCATCCACAAAAAGGTGGAATTGTAGTTCCAACAGCTGTTGTAATGGAATTTACCCTCAGTCTGGGTTAAGAACTCAGACCTATTTGAAAAATGTCAAACTGTTAAAAAATTGACAACTTTTGCACATGTTTATTAGAAGGAACAGAAAATGTCTCGCACTCTACATTGGGTATTTTCTTTCACAAGGTTGTGCATTTGGTTTATGACACAAGAGCCATCTTCTTGGCTCTCACTTACCATATGCTGTCCCTGGGCCAAATTCATTCCCAGCATCTATCATATACTGGCCCAGTAATTCTGGATTATTCATACGACTTGGTGCTTTGCGGTCCAACTTTTCATAGACAAATTCTTCTATTCTAGCGTCTAAAAAAAAGTTTCAGAAATACATTACTGTAGATCAAGAGCAGTATTAGAATGAATTTACAAACAGGATCATAATTTACCAAATCATTCACATAACATTAAAGTGTTAAGTATTTGGATAAAGTGATAAATCACCAAGACAGATGTGTTAATGTTTTTCTTCATCTACATACTCCGTTTATAAACGTTTCTAAATGGCTACTTAAGAAAATGCAGAATGGGATTTTTTCAAAATCATGAAGTTAAATCAATCATTGCATTTCCTCACATACCACATGCCCCCAACTAAAGACATACAAATTGTCCTACGAAGGCACAATGAAAAAAAATTCTTCTAGAGTCATGGCCAAAAGCTAATTTCATGGAGCAGGGACAGAGCCTAGTCTTCAGCTCACTTCCCACTCCCCTGACTGCCCAGGCAAAAGCTAGAGTTTTTGGTCTTCTGGTTACTCAGTCAAAAGCTACCATCAATTTAGCAGAGGCTGTAAGAGGGTTCAAACTCCAGTTCAGATGCTAAAGAGTGGACCCTGCCCCTGCTGCACGCTGGCTGAGAGAGCAGCACAGCCCCTGGTAGCCATTCCAGTGTCTCCATGCTTCCATTCCTGTGCAAAAGTCAACCTCTCCACTTAAGACACATGCTCCAATTCTAGGGGGTGGTATATGAGTAAATACAATAAAATATATGAAACAGAGTTGATGCTGCAGACGAAGTTGACCCTTAAGCAAAACTTGAGCTACCTCTTCCACCTTTAATGCATTTGCTCAGCCTCATCTGATTTCATCCTAAGTAAATTATTCTGTTAACACACAGGGAAAAATTGCAGCATTCTTTTCTATAGGCAAAAATGACTTTGATCATTCTCTATACTAAGAGAAGCAAAGATTTTACAATCTAGCAAGAGAGAGAACCACCTCCAGGGAAAACGCCTGCTAACTCCGGAGAGTTGTTTCTTTTTTAGATCGGTGGTTTCAAAAATTCCAGAGTAAGTAGTACACTTTACTGCTTGTCATTAAAGATGGGTCTGAAACAGCTCCCTCTATTCCAACTTGCTCAGAGTAAAGAATCTAACATTTTGCAGTTTTAAACCATCAAAAGTAAGTCAAGTTATCTTTCTACAGAACTAAAGAAGGTGTAAATGTCATGGGCTTGTTTAATACAGTCTGTCTCAGGTTTATGAGGAAATTAAGTGCACTTTCCCTGAACAAAAGTGATTTTAAATACCACTTTCTATGTTCCTTGTTTATATACATATTCATAATTACTTCAAAATTGAGCACATGTCTACAGGAGGCCTTTACTTGTATTATAAAAAGTAAATCAAATGCACTGATTTTAGAAAATGGGCCAAAAAAGTCTTATGGGTACCAAGTAAAGCATTTATGTAGGAAGTGTTGAAGAGTTTGATTTACTGTGAGCTCCACAGAAAGGGAGGGTGAGACCGCTGAAGATTAGGCTCTGTCCCTGCTCTAAGCAGCCATAACTCAGGAAAAATATTTTCTCCTTTATTCTGTCTTTCAAAAAAACAAGGTGTATATTATATTCTGGGCTGTGTTGTATACGAGAAAACATGGGTAACTTTTCCCCAGAAAAGCTGTAAGACTGCCACCCATTCACTATCCTTTTTACTCCATTTATCTACTACCATTTCACCAGCGTGGAGTTACAACTCAAGATTCTCTTTAAACATTTCCGTAAAAATCAAGGCAAACTTGAACTTCGGTATCAAATTTAATGTCCATTTTCAGCTTGATGTGTTTTTAAGTAACCAAGAATATGTTTAAGAATAAAGTTTAACTCTCTTTCCTCTGTCCTGCAAGACTGCTGGTACTCTTGGTGGGCTCAACCAGAGTAAGTTCTTAGTTGGTTAGATTTTCCAAAAACTGGCCAAGTGACTAAATAATCCAGACTGACATTAAAGTTTTTAAAGACAGGGGTTGTCAACCAGGTGTACACATTCCTCTGGGGGTACTTGGGAAGGCCCCAGGGGGTACAGGGCAGTGGCGCAGGGCTGCCAGTACTCTGTTCTGCCGTGCACTTCCGGTGCCTTTGTTTTTGTTGGTGCTGTGCACTGCTGGTGCCTCCACTGCCAGCACTTCCAGTTTTGCCATTACAGGCTTGCGGGGGACCCCCCGCTCATGGATTGGCTGCTGGGGGACCCCCCCCACCAGCTCGGCTGCCATCAACTAACTGCTGGGGGACACTCCACTTCTCAACTGGCTGCCAGGGGTACACAGACCAAGAAAGGTTGAAAACCCGTCTTCGGGTGATTGTTAACTTCTATAGTTAGTGTTTCAGAATTTAGTGCTATTACAAATCATTTAATTAGCCATATGGCACTTGGCCTACTGATTACAATTTAAATTTATATGCATTATTGAAGTCCCATATGAATGTTATTATGAGCTTGTGATGCATTTTTCTTTTTAATATTTTTTCAAGTTGTAGATGTTCAAACACTTATTTTTGTGATTTCTAGAATGAAGCCAAAGGAAATAATTTGAACAGGTCACAAGATACGTATTTCTTGGCTTACAAGTTTGCAGAATAGAGCTGAATCTTAGACTTGGTGTCAAATACAAGTAACCACTTAGCTCTTGCTTCCCCTGGTATATTTGCAAAAACAATGGCCTGACTGGACTCAGAAGGGGTTGCAGGGGTTACTTCCTATTATAGCAGCTCCATAAAAAGCAAAAAAAGGAAAGAACTATCAGGAACACCTGCGGGGGATAATTTGGGCCTGTCAGCCAAGAAGCACACATCCAGGAGGGGCCAGCAGGGGACTGCATGCTTAGGGGCAACCAACACGGGTTCATCAGTGGCAGGTCCTGTCAGACCAAGCTGGTGGCCTTTTACGATCAGATCACCAGATCATTAGAGGCAGGGGTAACAGTAGACATAGTCTTCCTGGACTTCTGGAAGGCTTTTGACACGGTCTCTCACCCCGTTCTCATTAAGAAACTAGGGGGCTGTGGCGTAGACACCCACACAGTCAAATGGGTCGCCAACTGGCTGGAGGGCCGCACCCAGAGGGTGGTAGTGGATGGGTCCTTCTCAACCTGGATGCACGTGGGCAGTGGGGTTCCG